TATCTACTGATACACAGCATTGAGGAATGGTAAGAAGGAATTGAGGGAAGAACAAAATGGATGAGAGATTTTAGATGCCTGGCCGCTGCTGGGTGGAAACTATATTTCCTGTGGCATCTCTAGAGGTCCGACGTTGAGCAGGAGCTCCTGATCATCTATATCATCATTATTGAGCCTTTTTTGTATTTGTCCATCCCTGTGTGGTTCGGCTCCTTCACAAAACTGCAATAAACAATTGGGTCTGCAAAAAAGACTATTGGGAATGACCTTCCTTCCAGCCAGAACATCTCTGGGTGAAGGAGAAGGGAAANTATTGGGAATGACCTTCCTTCCAGCCAGAACATCTCTGGGTGAAGGAGAAGGGAAAGGCTGCTAAAATAAACCTCAATACCATCTGAAAATATGAACTACACAACCATTGTCCTATCTTTAACCTGATACAGATCCCACCCTGAAATCCGGTCACTGTCCATCCATCCATTATCTTACACGCTTGTCCCAATTGGGGTGGCGAGGGGTGCCTATCTCCAGCAGTCAATGGGCGAGAGGAAGGGTCCACCCTGGACAGGTCGCCAGTCCATCACAGGGCAACACAGAGACACACAGGACAAACAACCATTCATGCACACACTCACACCTAAGGACAATTTAGAGAAGCCAATTAACCTAACAGTCATGTTTTTGGACTGAGAGAGGAAGCTGGAGTACCTGTCCAGTATTACATATAATATCTGCAATAATAATCTTCAATGCTGTAGCCACAAGGCTAATTGAATCTGTCTACATAATTTAATTAAAATTTTATTGCATTGAGATTACATGCCAAAAGCTCAATCATCAGGACTTCTATGTCCATAGGGCCTTAAAGTAACGCAAAACACATTTGGTGTTAATTAGAGTGGAGACAAAGTATCTGGCCTTCTCATAAACAATCAGTCCAAAAATTTTAAAAACAGTCCACTGGTCTTTGTTTTGAGAAGGGCATGAAGGACGCCATCTATGTTAAGAAAGAAAATGAACAGAGGGGGTGGACTCAAAAACCTACAATGCACTGATTGAATTGATTCCTTCCCGCCATCATCTCAACCCACACCCCTTTACAGGGGAGCAGAAGACCTCTCCTATTTGCCAGGCCAACTAGTCCCTTTAACGACCCGCTTTCAGAGACATAGACAGGTATGGGGCATTGCAGGCTAACAAAAGAAGCTAAACGACCCCCATTCCTAAGGGGTGGACCTGTTCGTCCGTTTCTATTTGCATGTTGTCTAAGTAAAAACCAAGCTTTGTTGGCCTGGTGTATAAAACCTGGAACTCAACGCTATTTCTGACATTTTAATAGAGAAAGCTTCCTGGATGGGAAGAGAAACGTCTTCAAACTTGGAAACAATGTCCAGTGGATTGTTTTTTATTTTTTTTGGAATGACTATGACCTGGATGACTGAGAATCTTCACCAGCAAA